TTAATCGTCGTAAAACCGTCGTAACGGTCAAATGCTCCCATCACGACACGTGTCATGTCATGCAGTGGACCGACTGTTAATATGAACTTGCATGAAAACATGCATCAACTTGTAAATATGTATGTTTTTTTCACATTTTTGATTTTGATCAGATTGATAGCATTTCATATAAAATAAGATAACCAATCAAAAACATTTGTGAAATACCTTACAACCAATAAGATATAAAAGATTCAAATTCTTGGATTTCAACATTACGACGATTTTACGACGAAATAGTGTACTCGTCGTAAAATCGTCGTAACTTTACGACGATATTACGATGGTTCGTCGTAAAGACGTCGTAATGTTGAAACCCTATTCATTCAGGGCTTAAAACCTAGACTTAGGGTTTAGGGTATAGAAAAACCGTCGTAAAACTGTCGTAAAATCGAATTTTAGGGTTTTTAAAAAATTCAAACAAACAAAGTTACAAATTACATAATAACAAACATTCACTAAATACAATGCATGAAACTCAATCAGATTCATCTTCCTCTATTACTTCATCACCATCACCGTCGTCTTCTTCCGCCAAATCGTCATCATCGTTTTCAGCAAACTCATCATCACCTTCTTCTTCTGTATCATCGGGAAGATCTTCAACTTGCCTGTTCCGAGGGCCTATTAAGAAAATCTCATCATCAACATCTGGTTCAGGCAGATCTACGCAAGTGTCCTGTTGAAGTGGAACATCCTTAACCCCTACAATCTTGCCCCTCGGAGCCACTTTAACTACTGCTAACCATGAAATTCCTGTTGATCAAACTCGAGGGTATGGCAGAAACGTTACATGTTCTGCTTGAGAAGCTAATATAAATGGCTCAAACCTGTTGTACCGTCGTGATTTGTTCACGTCAACAACTCCAAACTTGTTTAGACGTACCCCTCGTCCAACAGTTAGATCAAACCAATCACATTTGAAGAGAACAGTTTTCAGCCTTAACAATCCAGGATGCACAACTCCATAAAAATCGATTTCACCCCTCACGCAAACTCCATAGTTAGTTGTCGCCCGCTTTGCACCGTGATGGTATGTGTGAAAAACATAGCCCCGAGTGAAATACATTGAGGCTGTAGTTATTTTGGCCATCGGACCTAGTAGTAACTCATGGAACCATGTTGGAAATTCATCCGGATCATTCGGGTCCACCTAATATGAAAAAAATTCCGCTTTTATTTCTTGATTTCGATATATAGCAAATTAAAGTAGTCTTTTAATTAAAATTTTAAACGTACTTGTCCTTTTAACCACTGGGCATAGTGTTGATCTTTACGATCATTGATTTTAGTTTCAGAAACCCCAGATATGCATTCTTTAACCTCATCAACAAATGTGCTGAGAAAAACAACAAATAGTTATTAATAATGACAACTTTAAAAAAGATATTATTAATTAAATTAAAAGGTACATTTCATACGATGACAATTCTTCACAATTTAACAGGATATACGTATGTGCACTGTGATAATTTTTTTCATTGGACCACCAAACATCTTTTAGTTTTCCACTAAGACGTCTGATCGGCGAGAATATGTCAGGTACACCTTCAACGGCATATGTATGGCCAACTCCTCCATCATCATATCGACGAGTAGCTCTTTTGCGTGTTCGTACTTTCGGTGCAAAATAGTATGAAGTGAAGTGTGAAGTCTCTTGCGTCAAGCTTCCCGCCACAATTGAGCCTTCCACTTTATCTAGGTTTTTGGCTTTACCTTTAAGATGCTTCATGAAACGCTCGAACGGATACATCCACCTGTACTGAACGGGTCCACCGAGCTCTGCTTCGTGTGGGAGATGAACAGGAAGATGTTCCATAACATCAATGGTGGGAAGATCTTTTCCAAATTGCACAACAAGATTGGAATATTCAATGCCAGTTGTGATATTACATCAACTGATAATGTTCGTGTACTAAGATCCCGAAAAAAGCACCAATGCCTCCAATAGCTTCATGGACGTTTTTGGGCAAGAGTTCAGCATATGCAAATGGAAAAATCGTTGCATAAACACATGGCAGTCATGGCTTTTCATCCCAGCAAACTTTACCCCCTTCTCAACAGATTTGGAAAGATTAGAGACATACCCATCAGGAAATTTAACGTCAGAAGAAACTCATCTGAACAATGCTGACTTTTGATCTGCACTCAACCGAAATACAGGAACTGGTGCTTTCCCGTTTCTCAGTAGATGCAACTCACTTCTGTTGCATAAATCAGGCAAGTCCAATCTTGGCTTACCATTGTCTTTTGTTCTTCCCGCTACGTTCATAACTGTATGCATGATGTTATCAAAAAAGTTTTTTTCAATGTGCATGACATCAAGATTGTGTCTGAGCAGATGATCTTTCCAATAAGGTAGTTGCCAAAAGATACTTTTCTTGTGCCAATTATGATGAACTCCATAACCTTCAGGCATATTTGCAGGAGTGTGCCAGTTTCCCCCACGAGTTACTGTTTCTTCTGCCCTCTAATGATCGATTTGCGCCTGTATATCAGCTCCTGTTAAATTAACGGGTGGAGGGACATGTACACTTTTGTTCTTCATAAATAACCTTTTGTTCCTCCGATATGGATGGTTATCCGGTAAAAACCTCCGGTGACAATCAAACCAACAAGTTTTTCTACCATGTTTTAGCTGAAACGCATCAGTTCGATGAAGACAATAAGGACAAGATAGCCTCCCATGTGTAGTCCATCCTGATAGCATACCATAAGCGGGGAAATCGCTTATTGTCCACATTAGCACAGCCCGCATAGTAAAAATTTTCCTCGTAGAACAGTCATATGTACGATCGCCAGTATACCATAACTGATTCAACTCATGTATGAGTGGCTGAAGAAATACATCGAGAGCTCGCTTCGGATGATTTGGATCTGGAACCAAAATACTTAGGAAAAGAAATTCCCTTTGCATGCACAAATCTGGAGGAAGGTTATAAGGAGTTAGAATTACTGGCCATAATGAATATTGTCTACCAGACATACCAAATGGACTAAAACCATCAGTGCACAGAACAAGATAGACATTCCGTTTGAACTTAGCAAAATCTGGGTATACCATATTGAAGTGTTTCCATGCCTTTACATCTGATGGATGAACTTCTCCATTTACTTGTGTATGTTCCGCATGTCATCTCATTGATGCAGCTGTCCTTTCAGATTGATAAAACCGTTTTAACCTATCAGTTATAGGGAGATACCACATACGTTGGTACGGTATCCTTTTACGCCCACCAGTTTGCGGCATGTATCTTGGTTTTTGGCAAAATCGACATTCTTCTAGCTGATCATCATTTTTCCAAAATCATACAATTTTCAACACATACATCTATCATCTCAGAAGGTAGACCAAGACTAAAAATCAACTTCTGAATTTCATAGTATGTTCCCGCTGCCAAGTTATCCTCCGGTAGATACTCCTTCAGAAGATCAGCCCAATCATCCATGCAAACCTCAGCTAGGTTATGATCTGTTTTAATTGACATCATCCTAGCTGCCAACGATAATTTAGACAAGTCTTCTCTACATCCTTCGTAGATTGGCTGATTAGCATTGTCTAACAAATCATAAAATCGTTTGGCATCTACATTAGGTTCCTCAACAGCATTACCCGTATACGTTTCATGAAATGCATCAGTCACCATTTCGTGCATCCTATCATGATCTACACTTTGGTCATATTGATACTGATTAGGCTGATGACCATAATTCGATTCATAAATATCAACATGACTTTGATAATTACTACTACTACCAGCATTCCCATGAGTATTACTGCCATATCCTTCTCCATGTAGATACTAAACAAAATATTGCGGCATAAACTGAAATCGCATATAGAGCAATGATATACTAATTTCCGGAGCTTTGCTCCGCATAGACGGTAACTATCGTCAGCAGATACTAGTGGTAGGCCATGTTTTTGGAGCGTGAGAGGATGTCCCTGGTGAGAAGGATGGTTGATCTTTGGCAATGACTCGGCACATTCTTTGTGGACGGTGAAGGTGCATGTATGGCAGTTGTAGCCGTGTAAACCGTTTTCTCTAAGCTCAGGACATCCGTCGCAGTGACCCTCGCTACTATGGTGGTTGTATAAAGAGTGTTCGTGAATCGGAAGCTTCACAGTTGGTCCCATGATTTGCTCGAATACCTCAGATGGGGTTAATGATGCATCATCATCATCATCATCATAATCATAGGAGTATGCTTCATCTTCTTCGTGTGGAGTTGATGCGTCCGAGAGCTCCTCAACGAGAACCATTTTGGTCTTGACGAACTAAAATCTTTCGGTTGAATAAGAAGAATATGAAGAATAAAACAATAAATAGCCGTTAAGGAATTATTTTTATTTAAATCGTTTTGTTTTGAGGTTTTGTGTCCCCTAATCTTAATTCAAAGATTCGAATTTTTGGGTTACCGTGCTTTCAAAGCTGGCAAAGTTTGGTAATTGTGCTTGTAAATTAATTACTAACTCTTTCAGGGAAAATGGCTATGAAAATTTCATACTTCCAAAATATGGACAAATCGAATCAAAATGACTCCAAAACTCGACGAATAATTTTTTAATATTACATGATGTTTATTATATATTCAATGATCATGATAAAATAAACATCTTTATTGTAAAGGCAACTTATAATAATTAATTAAAGAAAGCATCATTTAAAGTTAAACATTGTTTTCTCGTTAAATCAAAACATTTTTTAGTTTTTCTTTTCAGTTATTTCAAATTAATATTTTCTATATTTTTATAAAAATTAATATAATCTTTTTTTTGATAAATCATATTTTATTTGTTACTTATATTATTATAAATAATCTTAAAAACAATAATCAATTTAAAATATATATTGAATATTATTAAGTAATTTAAAGTTATATAAAAATTAAATAAATATCTATCAATATTTTTAATTAGTTATAACATTAATTTTTGTTTAATATTTCTATAAATATTAGTTAAGAATTAATTAATAAAAAAACTTTATTTTTTTAGTGATTTTAAATTTAATATTAAAATTTATTAATTAAAATTTAAGTGGACATATATCACTTTTTTCATTGCTGACGTGTCAAAAAATTGGAAGAAATTGACTTTTTTTATATATCGGATTGAAAATATAAATTTTAAATATTTTTTCTTTTAAATTTAATTAATTATTTTTATTTTATCTTTTTGATAGTTAAGAAATTTTAAATCGATATGCGTACATCTCTAGATCAGTCTAAAACCAAACTACCAAAGTATATCATATGGTTACCTTCTAAATGTCAAACTATTTAATACTTCTTTTTCTATTTTTCATCTATTAGTATTCATCTATCATAATCTAAAACATTGATTTTGAGACCTGTAAAGAATCTTGCGAGGAGCCTTCTTGAGATCATTAATATATGGACATTTTCATCGATCCATCTTCAAATAGATCATTAGATAGAGCAAAAAAAATATATTCTTTAAGATAGTTTGAACACATATGTTAAACATAGGCCGACTTCCAACTGCAACTATCTGTAGCCAAATGATTTAGATTGGTAACGTATAGACGTATAGTAATTTCGTTAGGGTGTCTGCATACGTGAATATATTCAGTCACGAAAGAAAATAAAAAGAGAATATTTCATACGAGAATATATATTTATATAATAAGTTCTTTTGACCGACCAGCCATGCTCGTTTGTATTTACAATATTTTCTCTCGGAAAGTGAATTCACTAGATTTGTATCATAGTGGTGAGAGTATACAAAAATAAATGGAACCAAAGGTGAATATACTGGAAAAAGAAAGGAAAAAAACTTTTGAGTGAATACTTGGTGTTAAACCCTTTAACAAAATAAAAAAGGAATACACTGTTATACTACAATGGTCCATTATCTTCTAGTCTCTCATATTAATTATATATGTTCATGAATATTTCTCCCTTTTTTAAGAATTGTTACAAAATCTGGAATCTTTTGGAGAAAACACACAGACAGAGGTACATGGACTCTTGACTTGGCCCATGTATTAGGTCAAACGATAGTCTTATTTGCATTGTATGATCCAGAAAAGTCAAACCCAAGTTAATATCCTAGAAGTTCCAAATTTCGAATGTTTTTAATTAAATTATTTTTTGTTAAAGAAAACATTCCAAATGTCAAATGTTGAAATGTTATTAGATGACATCAAATGCAATATTCTGGACCTCTAAAAAGAAGACGAAGTAAAAGCTAAACAGAACAAAAGAAAACAGAGGGAATTTTTGTTTTGTTTTTTGACATCTCATAGGGTTTAACCAGTTTGATCCTTCCATATGAATAAAATATGTCTCGGACTGGTCTCACTAGCATTTCACTATACTCGAGTTGACAGTACACGACTGAAAATTGAACTTCTCTTTTCTCCAATAACACTCCAACGCTTTAAACCAACGTGTAACAGTTCTTATATTGATAAGATTGCTTATAACTAAACCAAAACGAAAAAAAAAAAAAAAAACCAAGACATAGCTTCGAGTCTCACTGCCTTACAAATTCGATTAATCTGCAAACGTATACCAACCCTCATACCTAATTAATTTGTGATAGATACTAGGCAAAAACAATTACAGATATTTTACATATATATATATATATATATATATATATAATATCAACCTAATTAATGTCTTGGAGACCTAGATCGAAAACATGAGGAATTATAATAGAAAGACATCTCCTCTTTCTTTTATTTATTTTTACTAGATTTTGCTTTCACGCTACGCATGGATATTTTGTTTATAAAAATTATATGTAATCAATTATAGTTATTAAGATATAATTAACTATATTAGTGTTATAATAATTTATTAATAAATATTATAATGTTTATTTAATAATTTTTATGTAAATTATGAGGTTCTAAGGGTTTTGTTTTGAATCTATATACAATATATATAATATTTCCAAAAAGTATTATCTGATCCAACACTTATAAGTTAATATACCCAAACCAACTAAAATATTTACATATTATTTAAATACTACTTTTTAAACATAATATTGACATGATGATAAAATATTATACATTCACTTCTTTAAATCATGAAGATAATTTATTTTCATCATTTTCACTTTTATTCCAAATATATATGTTCTTTAAAAAATAATAAAAATAATAAAAATAAAAATTTAATCATTTTTCTTCTCTTGTTTAACCACTACAAATTTTTATTTTGATATATTAATTGAAAAAATAAACTAATAAAAAAAATGTTTTTTTTGAAATTAATGACAAATTTATATTTAAAACCAAAACAATAGTTGAATATAAAATAAATAAAATCACACAAAACTTATGAATTAAATATATATTTGTCAATTGGTTGTGTAAACTTTTAAATAATTTTCCAATAATTATATGTCATCTCTTTTAATAAGAATAAAAAAAATTTCATCATGTTAATTTTTATTAATTCTTGTTATATCTGGTTATTAAATGATTATATCATATTTAAATATTTAATTTATTTTTGTATAATTATATTCAGGTTTATTATATTCATTTCTACTTCTTCTAGTTATAATGAAGTAGAAAAAACCGGTACAATTTAATACATACAAAATTTAGAAAAATGAAATAACAAATTGAACAACTCAAATGCAATTTTTTATCATTTTTGCATAATATATTACATGAGATTATGTGGAAATATGTTTTGCATATGTGAAAAAAAATTAGATGAATATAAATCATAATTATTAGTTATTTAAAATTCTACGTTAAAAGCCTTAAAATCAAGTAACTTAAATTTGTATAAGTAGCATATATTTTTTTATAGATAATAAATTAAATGTGTTACTTAAACAGTGATAATGAAGATTTTAATATCATGTTGGTTTTTTGTTGTTAATAGAGATTCCTTTATTTTTAATTTATTTTCTTAACCATAATATTAGAATTAAAAAAAATTTTGATTTACAATTTTGATATATACAAATAAAATTGAATTTTTAAATGCTGATGTGGATACCTTGAAAATAATATAGCTTTAACTATTATTAATAATAGAATAATTTTAATTAATATTTTTTATATCATTTTGTATTAACAATGTAATTTTATAATTTAGAAATTTTTTTAAATTTTAATTATTGATGTGGAGTAATAAAATTTATCTTTTAAATCTTATGTGGATGTCCTTTGAGACATATAGCTTCAACTTTTATTTTTCTATAAAAAGATTTCTTGTTAACAATATAATTTTAAAATTTAGAAATTTTCTAATTTTTAATATTGATGTGGACCAATAGAATTGAACATTTAAATTTTATGTGGACACCCTGAGAAGCATTTATCTTTAACTTTTATTAGTATAAGATATTTAGAAATCAAAATTAGAAGATCTCACATGAGGCCCGTTGCAGCAAGTGATTTTAGTCTCTTCTCCTTGTTTTGAGGCTTACCGAATGTATTTGAATGCTACTTTGACAGATAATTATTATCTTTGTGGTTCAGATTCGGTTGTTAAAACCCCATCAGATGCCATGTTATTTCAAAGATTTTCATCGGATATTTCAGTCTCATTCGTCTTAATGATGAAACATCTTTCTTTATTTTCAGTGCTTCGTTTTTCAAAAGTGTCGAGTATCAATTACTTGACATGTTTCTCAGATTGTTTGGAATTTATCATGCTTATCAAATTCGGTGGCCAAGCTTTGAAGATTTTATGGTTTCTTTTTTTATTTTAAATCAGCTTGTAGTGGCTTTGTATATACCTCCTTTTATTATATTTCTTTGTAATTTAGCTAATAGTTAAACATATAGTTTAGTCAAGTTGGTTTTTTACGTTGTTAAACATATAGTTTAGTCAAGTTGGTTTTTTAGTTGTAATGACTCATTAGTAAAATCTAACTTTATTTTTTTTTTAATTTGAAATGGTTGCACACACAGAAAAAAACTTAAAATTTATTATAGTTATGTAACAAAAATTTGGATGCCAATGTAAGAGTATTTAAATATGTGTGTATACATCATTACATCTAATTTAAATTTAAAAGTTTCTATTTTAATATTATTTATTTTAATTTTTTAATTATTAATATAATTTCTTTATCTTTAATATTTTTTATAAAATAATAGAATTTGTAAACTTTTTAATTTTTAATGTTGAAGTAGACCAATAAAAATATTATACATAATTTCTTTATTTAGCAATAATTTTAGAATTTGTAAACTTTCTTAATTTCTTTATTCAACAATAATATTAGAAATTGTAAATTTTCCTTAATTTTGAATGTTG